CAAGAAAGCATAAACCGAGAGATGAAGAAAGAAAGAAAGGGGAGAAAGAAAGAAGAAAAGGGACAAGGGAACAAACAGGGTCAAGTTCATGCCCAGAATAAGAACTAAAAGAACTGAATATAAAACTTAGTCATGATAAAAAGCATAAAAAAAATGAAAATGGCAAAACAAAAGACCTGAACGATCGTAAAATACCATGTCAAAATCCGATCTTTCAAATAACAAAGACACCAAAGATATGTTTCTCCAACTTCTAAACAACATGAACCTTTAAACTACACGGCACCTACCTACCTACCTACCAACCTATCTACTTACCTACCTATCTACCTACCTACCCACCCACCCACCCACCTACCAACATACCTACCCAACCACCCACCCCCACCCCTCTTTCATATCATACGCTGAACATATCACTTAATTTGTTAGGCCTATTAATCTAGCAGCTTTGGAAGATCTACAAAAAATATACAAATCACAAAAAACTATCTAGAATATCATAAATTATCCAATTTAATAAAACTACTTCCAACAAGTAAAGCCAAAATACGAGCAACAAACACATGTTAAAGCGTTTTCAATCTTAATCTGAACTCATGCTTTCACGAAACTGTAAAGACGCAACTAAGTACTTTATGTAATATAACCAAATTATTACATTTTTGTTTAAGTTACCCCCAAAATATTAATTTTCTTTGTTCAACAATTTGTATCTCGTTCTCTACTTTGTTCTCTTTGGGAACACCAATAGAAAACTTAATAATTGAGAAGAATATAACACATTTTCTCCTAATCCGGAGAAATGGTTCATTACAATACTGTGAAAAAATAAAAATAAAAATAAAGACTATGAATTATTCATATCAGTCATACACAGAGTACAGTAACATATATGATACTGATAAAACATAAACGGATATGTATCACTCCAGCAACACCATAACAACAACAACAACAACAACAACACTAATAATACAGCAATAATAAAAATAAAAATAATAACGTTATATAATTATAAAAATTACAATAAAACAATACTAATAACAATAATGATAATATAATAATAAAAGTAACTATAACAATAATAATAATAATAATAAACAATAAAAATGAAGAAGAAGAAGAAGAGGTGGAGGAGGAGGAGGAGGAGGAGAGGGAGGGAGGGAGAGAGAGGGAGAGAGGGGGAGAGAGGCGGGGGAGGGGGGGAGGGAGGGAGGGAGGGAGGGAGGGAGGGAGGGAGGGAGGGAGAGAGAGAGAGAGAGAGAGAGAGAGAGAGAGAGAGAGAGAGAGAGAGAGAGAGAGAGAGAGAGAGAGAGAGAGAGAGAGAGAGAACACTATATCCATGCTTTGTTGAAGATTTTCCTACAATTATGGCCATATCTTATCTACTTTTTCTACTTTCCTGCATATACTTCTTGCACATTGATGAAAATAGTGTGACAGACAGTAATTATTGTCAGGCTTCCAATATATACACTATTTGTTAAATTAAATCATCAGAACTGGAAAATATTGCTAATAGTGATAATAGAAAGAATTAGGACTAAAAAAAAGACAGTATACATATAAATGATTGTAATAGGCAAACAAATAATAGCAAGAATGATAAGTATAATACTAAAAGTAATGACAATAACAATAACAATAGGAATACTGACAATAGCAAAATCAACAAAATCATAAACAGATACTTTAATATCAAATTATATCAACAATAATGAGCAAAAAGATTTAAATGAATTGAATATTACGTGAAACAATAAAAATGTCCTCAAGTAATCTGAAACTGTACATTGATGCATATTGCACACAACATAATTTCGATAAAAGTTTGTGTAATTGTGTTAGTATACTGATAGTGTGCTATGTGGTGCAGTAATAGCATTCTCGTCTAGCAACAGTGCCAACCTGCATTCAAATCCCACACAGGGGATAATTTAGAAGCAAAAATAAAGAGCCTGTCACTCCAAACATAAGAACAACCACTGTAACAAATGGAATAAACTAAACTATTATATATCTACAAAGTATAGTGCTCTTGGACTGGATTACATTCAACAAATAAACATCTGCTTCAAAAATTACATTCGTCAAGTAATGTGTAGCTTCAATAGCTTATCAAACCCAAATATTATAAAAGCAATGGCCAAATACAATCAGTAAAATATTAATTTTTTAAGTGCTTTGGTACATTATGAACTTTCTCTGTATTATATTGGTGTAAAATCCTGATATTACATAATTAGTTGTAGTGCATGTGGAAAGGAATAATGGTGCTGAAGAGGAGGACGAAACTTAAGTGAAAAAAAAAGGGGGGAAGGAAGGAAGGAAGAAGAAGGAGAAAAATAAAAATATATATAATCTAAGAAAATTTAAGAACAAATAAGAGAACAAATGGAGAAAAGGGAAAGAGCTAAATTGAGAAAAATGAATAAGAGTTAAAAAAAGGAAAGAAGAAAAAAAAATAGTACAAGAGAGAGAGAGAGAGAGAGAGAGAGAGAGAGAGAGAGAGAGAGAAAGATAAAAGAGAGACAGAGAAAGATGAAAGAGAGAGAGAGGACAGAGAGAATAAGGAGAGAAAATATGAGAGGATGAGGTAAGAAGACAGAAAGAGGACAAGAGAAGAAAAAATACACTAAAGTAAGAAAGGAGAAGAGAGAAAGGAGATCGAGTCATCAGATCAAACACTTTCCTCTGAACAGCTTTACAGTTTTTATGTTGGTTAGTGAAGCCCAAGAAAAAATGGACAAACCTATGCTTGTTGCAAATTCCCGTAAATACTTTTCTCGGCCATGACCTGCCCTGACAAACAGCAGCTCTAGGCAGTGCTAGACAACTTCCTGGAGGGTCAGAGAACAATGAAAGTGGAAATGGCTGAAGCTGGGAGGTGAAAAAATGAAGGATAAAGATGGATGGAAGGGGGAAGAAGGGATAAAAATGGATAGAAGGGGGAAGAAGGGATAAAGATGGATGGATGGGGGAAGAAGTGATAAAAATGGATGAGAGGTTAATGATAATAAAGAAAAGTAGATAGGGTGGGTGGATAAAACTGGGGAACATTTGGATGAGAAGGAAAGAGGCAAAGATTATTGGTAAATACAAAGTGGATATTGTATGGGAGAAGGTGGATAGATAATTGCATAAAAAGAAGAAAATAATAGTAAAGATAAAAGAAGTAATTCAATAAAAACAGTAATGCTGGGTAGCTGGATATGATTCAGAACAAGATGGATGATAAAAAAAATAAATAAATAAACAACTAAAGTACTAATAAACACAACAAACAAACATTAATATACTTAGAGTAAATTTTGCACATGCATATCAGGCAATTCAAAAAGGTAAAGTGAAAATTTATATATCAAGAAAGAAGGGCCAGAATTATTAATTGAATAAACATCTGAAAAGAGGACAGACTGAAAGGAAAAGCAAGAATAATAACTATGAAAGTGAATAAAATGGGAAGAAAGATAAAACAACTGAATTAACCCAAATCTGATGGGCATTGTGTGTACATACATGCCATACCCAATGTGAGTTTACTTTATTAAATGTTTTTACACAGATAGCTAAACTTGTACCTAGTCAACAATGAGTCAATTAGGAATACTGCCTGAATTTACCCCTTTTCTTTGAATTTCAAATATATTTTACTTTATCTTCTATTGCAGTTACTGATATCAATAACATTATAGTATATATTTATATGTTTATAATAAAAATAACAACATCAATGTTCAAAGCATTAGTAGAAAAAAAAAAAATCTTCCCGCCAATTCAAGGAAAGGTGAAATCAGGTAAGGTCACAAGGTCTACTAATTGACTCCTTTGTGGCTAAGCAATAGCAGAGCCATCTAGGTACAGAGACATTTCACAAAAAAATAAAAAATTAGTCCTTTGCACTCGAGCCTAGGCCAATAAAACTGGTATGTCCTATACATTCTGGCAAGATAAGAGTTCAGATTAATTCCTTATTCAATGATAAATCACCTCGGCAAGATTCTATCAACATCAACGAGATTGATTTTGCTAGAACCAAAAAAGTCTGAGGTTTGTTGACCTTCGCCCGAACTCTGTCAGGGCCCGAGACTGGTGGCAGATAAATGAATGTCTTACTAAGGTTTACAAATAAACAAAACAAAATAATAAAACAAAACTGATAAATGTATATATATAAAGAAAGAAAACAGTTGTTATACTGGTTGATATTTGAATAAGGTTCTTATGAAAACCATGATTACAATAAACAATAACTGTTATTATGCTAAACTGCTTGATTTCAGATGTATATAACACACAAAAGCAACAATATAGAATACCAAAGGGTGATACATTGAAAATTATGAAGAGACTAAATCACTATCATTAGTAATCAAACATAAACAGAACAAAACTATTGTATGATAAAATGTAATAAACAACAAAGGTATAAATAACTGAAAAAAAAACATACTGTAAAGAAAAAAATTAATTATTTACACAAACTATTCTTATATATATATATATATATATATATATATATATATATATATATATATATATATATATATATATATATATATATATATATATATATATAATGTGTACATATTTATTCATACATATATTATCTGCACAGATGAAATCAGCTATTCAATAACACACGTTAAAATAGCTAAAAATGAATAATTTTGAGCTTCTGGTATTCAAATAATTTTTGATTACTTAACAGAATCAAATTAAGCATTTCTTACATAAATGACAATTAACCAATAACCACAAAAATAATATGAAAATCTATCTAATCATTCCTGAACCCAACGCTAAAATGGGAAAAAAAACCCTAGACTTCACTCTCAGGAAAAAAAATGCAAGTAAAAAAAAACCGGACAAAAAAATTCAAAAATACCCATGCATGTTCCCCAAACCCTCCCTCATCTCCCCTCATTTCACCCCCCCACGATGTCACCTCAGGACACGCCAATCCAAACGTATAAAAAAAAACCCCACAAACTCAC